CTTCTCCCCTTCATCAGTGTTGGGATTAGAGGCTGCATATGCTTTTACATGGGTCTGGGGATCAGAGTTCAGGTCTTCGTGCTTAGATAGCAAATGCTATTACCTACTGAGCTGTCACCACAGCACTCACAATTGTTTTTTAATGACCATATTTGTAACTATACTATTTAAAATATATTTGTGAATGAAAATTATAGACTTTGTACGAGGAGATTACTTTTTCACAAAGAAGAGAGGGTCTAGATAAACCAATACAAAGTATAACACTTAACTGAAATTTGGTTATGTTTTTTTTTCTTAATCTTGTATTTATAGCAAAAGTCAGACTTTTAAAAACAAATGCAGAAAATGGTACAGTATAAGCACATTTTCTCAACTTAGAACATTTGTAAGTACCTAGCAATGGATTTTTCTGGTTCAGTGTTTGCTGACTGTAAAGAATAGACATGCTAGGAAGGAGATATCAGTTGCCTTGTCCTCAGTCACATAGCAGGCAAGCTGTAATACAAACTTGTAGTGTTTCGTGGTGATGTCTCTTGAAGTTCTACAGTTTGTGACTTCCTCACAAGTCTGTTTAAGTTGTCTTTGGGTATCAAGGAACACATTGTAGAGGCCAAAATAACTGTAATTAAGTATTGCAGTCTCCCTTTCTACTGGTAATTGGCCACTGGTTTCTATGTACCTATCATCATCATCATCATCACCACCACCATCATCCTCATTTAATATGCCTACTTACTCAGAATTTGGCACAGAAGTAGAGGTAATTGTGTGTGTGTGTGTGTGTGTGTGTGTGTGTGTGTGTATAAAGGGTGTGTGTGTGTGTGTGTGTGTGTGTGTGTGTGTGTATAAAGGTTGAATGTCTGCGGAGATAATTCTAAGGATGAACCTTTAGACTTTGGTTACTGTTTTAGGGAAAGAGAAACTACAATGGGGAAATTAAGAAAAAGTGAACGCAGAGTCTGAAGGAGAGGAAAACATGTTGTGAGTCTGAAATTTCTAGGTTGGAAGATGAACTGGATGGATCAAACCTGACAGATGGGTGTGTGAATGCTACATTTAAGATGCCCAGGGAGAAATTGGGGAATGAAGATCTGGGAAGGCATCTGGGTTGGTGGGTGTCAAGCAGGTCTCACCTTGGATCTGTGCTGGGTTAGGAAGAGACCATCTCAGAAGAGCATGTCCAGTGTGAAGAACCCTAGGAATATGAACACACTTCACTCAGCACACATTTAATTGCCTTTGCTTTTGTAAAATGGGACCAGTGCAAAGTGAGAAAATAGGAACATATTTCTCAGGAATCTGTGAGATTGTATCCAAATTCTCAAAAGTTAATTGTTGATGTCTTATGTATAGCTTTGTGACTGAGCTAACTCGGTTCCTTCTCAGTGCTCTCTACAGAGAACCCACAGCATCTTTTGTTTCTTTATGTCATCTCTTGCCTCACTATGAGGAATTCTGTGTGGGATAGTCACTAAGATCTTTTCCTTTTTGATCAAATTAATGTGATGTAATTTCTTATACAAAATCTAATTTTTCCCTTGCTCCCAGCTGGCCTCTTAGCTCATCTACATCTCCCCTCTTCACTTTCTAGGCCATGGCTGAAGGACCTGTCTTCTCTTTTAGCCTCAGAACAAGCTTTTAGGATAGCTACTTAGAAACTATACATGAAATGAGTGGGTTAGTCTGCTTACACTTCCTGTAAGAAGTCAATGTGGGAAGACACGTGAAGAGCTGGGCAATATGCTATGTTTGTTAGAGGTGTAGGTTAAATACCATTTTGTCATCCTTGCCCTTGCCTCTTCCCAAGCCCACAGTCCTGATATTTTGCTGGCCTCTCTGGATTCATTCTACTCTTCCAACTCTTCTCATCAGTGCTTCACTTTATTTGGATTCCAGAAGCTCACAGACTACAGGCCCTGTGGGTAACTTAATTAAATCCTGTTTCCTTTTTCTTTTTTTATACACGTCTTCTATTGAGTAATTCTGTTCCCTACTGCACTTAAATAGTTCTATCTTGGCTGCAGATATAGCTAAGTTGGAAGGCTGCTTGTCTAGTGTGAGTGAAGTCTGGGCTTGATCCCCAATACTGCATATAATAGGCATAGTTGCCCATATCTATTACCCAGTTAAAAGGTAGAGGCAGAAAACCAGAAATTCAAGATCATCTTCATAGCACTTCAAGGCCAACTTGAGCTACATGTACCCTTGTCTCAAATAAAATTAATAAATAAAAACAATAACAGTCATCATCATCACCATCATTATCATTATTATTATTATTATTATTATTATTATTATTATTATTATTATTATTATATTTGGCTTTATGGTCCAAAGGGCATCACTGAATAACAGCCTCCCAAGTAAGAAGTTGTAGGAGAAAGAAGATCCTCTGGAAGTTTCATTGTAACCCATTCAGGAAGCATTACTGCTGTCTGGTGAACTTGCTATTGCTACTTCATTAGTGATAGCCCACACTGGACACTAGCTCTGATTCAGGCGATGGCCCAAGCACTTTATACACATCACTTGGCTTTTGAGTTGATTCTATTAGTATTCCTGTTTTATACTTACCAACTCACCTGAGGTCACTCTGTTCTGATTTGCAAGTGAGGATTTAAGCCCAGGTGGTCTAATTTCAGATTCCTACCCTTGACTGTGCTTTTATATTTAATAGTGCCTCCATAGCAGTGCCAGGGTCATAGAGTTAACGTTTATTCTTTAATGTTTGATTTTGAAACTTGGAAAAAATAATATTCAGCTTTAGTTTTAAAAAATGTCACAGTTTCTCTGCATCATTTTGTTCTATCACTTCAAATTTCATTTCCCTTAGGGCAACTACTGTTAACAATATTTTCAGAGGTTTTTTTTTTTTTTTTTTAAATCATAAGATTAAAAAAGAAAAAGAAAAAAAAAAAACCACCCATGGTGTGTTTGTAAGTTTCTCTTCAGCTTTTTGTCTCCTGAAAAGTTAGCTTATTCTCAATTAGTTGGTAAAAGTGTTAAGTAAAAATGACTCAAACACAACTCTGATACACATGCACACATGTTCTTATGTGTACCTTATATGTGTGTATCTTATTACACATACATGTTTACTGTGTAGAACTTGGATTGATGCCAAGAGAATGGTGTACCACCCATGTTCAAGGGGGGAAGTTAAGTTCTTACCTGCTGGGGGAATCTATCTACACAATGTTCTATCCAATGGAAACCTACTTTGAGTTGAAAACTCCAGGTGGATGAATTTTTTTAAGTTCTCAGGAATGGAAATGCTATTTCCTTCAGTTTATAACAAGCATTGCTGGAGAATAAATTTGACAATTTATATATGACTGAATCATCTTGATGCCTTGAGAAAAATGAACAGCAGCCCTTTGCAGATACGGAAATGGGTTTTGATGCCGCTTTCCATGCCTGACTTTCTGGAGTCAGTATCAGAGTTCTGTTTCTAGCTCCTTCTATGACAAAGGGCACTGTGATTTCTAATCATCATCGGCAACAATAACAAGAACACACACACACACACACACACACACACACACACACACACACACACAATCTCGATGGAAATAGCCATACTTTTTGTCATGCACTGGAACATTTTCCTAAAAAGAGAGGTCACCAGAAGCGTATAGTAGAGAACTCCCAGATGGCCTTAGATTTGATTTCCTTTTCAGCAGCTCCTATTCAGCAGATGGATGGGAAGGCTGACCTCTCTGACACTTCTGCATCACTGCCTGCTACTCCAATTGCCTTGGTGAATGTTTTTTCATAAGGCTTCTCTTGGTACCTCAGAGATTGATGCCTGACTGCCTGCCTGTGCTATGCTTCATTACGTCGCGACTCTGTGAGCTTGAGAGATGCTGGATTCTATAAAAGGGGAAAGCCTAGCTCATCAGAATCTCAAACATACCTTATAGTCTCTCAGGTTGTGGTGTGTAATGTCGCAGAAGATACTCTTTCTAGATGTATCTTTAATTCATATACGTCTAAGGCTTATTTTTATTTTATTTTTTCTGTGCTATGGCTAGATTAAAAACAATGCAAACAATTACCTTGGAATATCTATATTTGACTGTTTCCAACACACCCATCAAGCCTCAAAGCCCTAGCAATTTGAATGTAGATACTGTTGATTTTCTTCTGCTACTGTAGCTTTAGTGGCTGAGAACACACACCTGGGTTGAAGGTCTTCATTTGTCATTCCCATCACTTTAGGGGAAGCTGTTGCTTTAGGATAAGCTTGTTTCCTCATTTGTGGGCCAGTTCTGTTATCCATGCCAGATATTCAGGACTAATGTGAAAGTTAAACATGCAATGAATGCCAAGTATTTTCTCCATCTCCAGCATATGCTAAAAGTACACTGAAATGTTTCTTTGAGGTGTACATGAGAACTTTGGGTGCCTGTGCATATACCAAGAGTTTAATTCCAAATACAAGTCATTTTGTCTAGGTTGATTTGCATTGTGAAGCAAGCAGATTATTTAGGAAGAAGTTTTTGTTTGTTTGTTTGTTTTTTGAGACTGATGAATTGATGGTCAACCTTCTCAATGAGGATGACTTCACTTCCTTCCGGAGACCCTCACATAATTCTGGAAACACACTGCATTCCACCTTACCTCCCGTATCACCAGCTGGCTTCTATTTTTATGACATGGCAATGCAAAGAAACTGGCACCAAACATGGATATCCCACTGGTTTCTGGTTTCCAGGAGGCTGACCCAAGGTGGCATGCTGCAGAGACCTGTGACAAGCACTTCTGGGTCATATCAGGTTGCAGTTGTCTCCTATGCCACAGGTCTCCACACAACTGGGCTTCAGCACAGGTTTTAATGCTAGCAGACTTTTGGATTGGAAGCCAGCACATGCCGGCTGGCTCACCTTTTAGCTTGAATTGGATCTCTTCTTGATTCAGTTTTGATGAACTTTGATGCTCAGATTGCCACTTTGTTGTGGAACTTTGATTAGGAAGTGACTTTTCCCTTTTCACAGATCTAACATAAGGCCAGACTATGCAGACTCCAATTGCCATGACTTCAAGATGCACACCTTCACTCGGGTGACATCCTGCAGAGTCTGCCAGATGCTCCTGAGGTAAGTTTCCTCATGCCTGTTTTCCAGTTTAAATGAACTGGGATGGTTGAGAAGTATGTCAGTATTTAGAAGTCTACTTAAAGGTGTTCTGAAGTACAGGTATTCCTTTCCTACTTGACACAGTCGATCCTTTCTGGCCTTGGACCTGTTCTGTTTCCTCAAGACTCCCATAGAGATCTTCTGTCTCCATGCTGACCGTACTTCAGACAGCACCATGATCACCTCGTCCTATTTCTTGGCTAGTGATTTTACTTTAACAGAACTTAGCACATTTTAACACAACATTCTCTGATTTTACCTTGCAGGGGAACATTTTATCAAGGCTATTTATGTTTCAAGTGTGGAGCAAAGGCACACAAAGAATGTTTGGGAAGAGTAGACAATTGTGGCAGAGTTAATTCTGTTGGTAAGTCATGTTTATTGTTGGGATTCTGTTTTTAATGAGGACATAAAACTTGCTAAATACAATTAAGGCCCAATTTACTCTTAATATGTATTTATTGGAACATATCTTTTTGAGGATATCATTAATAAGTACAATTAGAAAGTTGTTTAAGATCTGTGTGACTTCTACATGACTTGGTTTTAAACCAAGTCAAATATTTGTTTGACTTTTATATGTACTTGGATGCACTTGGATGGTTTCATTATTTAATATTTGTTTGACTTTTATATGTACTTGGATGCACTTGGATGGTTTCATGGCACCCCTTTCATTTACCTCAGTCCCAAAATATTTCACCAAATTATTTGAATACTGCCAATACAAACAGTAATCAAAACAAAAGAAAAAAGAAAATATTCTTCTATCTTGAGCTCTTAAACTTTTTCTTTCTTTTAAATATTTATATCAGATTTGTTATTGGTTCCAGAAGCAAACATTACACAGACTAATTCAAGAATTCATGAATTGAATACATTATCTTTTTCCACATTAAACAAAGCATATATCCTTTGGATTTATGTAAACATTGTTTCTGCTTGATTCTTAAAAATAACTCTCATGCTTGTTGTATGAGCTCCTTGCAAATTATGCATTCAATATCCTTTGCCTCTTTCTGCTCCTCTTGGGCTGTCTCCCTTCTCTTTCTTTTCTGGCCTCTTTATTCTTTTTCTTTCTTCTTCTTTCTCTTTGTCCTTTTCCCCTGAGTTCCTCTGTGTTTTATCAATAAGACCTTTCAAAATCAGGAAGAGTTTTTGAACACAAGAAAGGATCTTTAACAGCTTGAGTTCAAAAGGTAGCCATGTCAACCTTTGATTTTCCCAGAGGAGAAGGTGGACATTGAATTATTTTGGATAATGTGAAGAAGAGTGGAACAGAAAATATCTTATTTCAGAGCTGAGTTCAGAAAATGTAACAGTTGTAGAAAAGGTGAAACCTAATAGAGGGCTGAGATCACAGCATGTCCCTGTCCCTCTGCTCCTTCAATAGACATCTTCAGAGGGCCCCATGTGCCATTCTCTGTGCCATGCAAGGACAATCATGCCAGCAAAGACCTTGACATTACTGAGTACCTCCACTGTGTCGAGTGCGACTTGTCCAAAAGAAAGTCTTTAGTTTTTAGAATAGCCCTTCCCCAGGCCAGAAAGCCCAGTGTGTTTCTGGTGCTTGCTGAAGAAGGTAAAGTGAAACAGATAAGGTTACTATTTTCATCTGTCTAAAGGTTAGAACAGCTTACAAAAATGGTGAAATAAACGGTAATATTATGCATTATGACTGTTATTCTTCAGCCATCAACCTGATATAGCAAAACCTTAAAGTTTTACTGTTTCACCCTTACAGGTCTTACTCTTCAATGAACATACTATTTACTTCTTATAGGCTAGGGTGCTTGCAAAAGTCCTGTAGTTTTAGACTTGAATATCCTGAATTACTGGATGAGGGCCAGGTGTTCTTAGTGGCCACACCTGTCCTCCCATATAAGCCCTTAGAGCTAGGACTTAGATACTTTCTGATCCAGGGCCCCTTTTTTAAAGTGAGGAAATTAGGCTCATAAACAGTTGAAAATAAAACAACTGAAGACTCAGAATGCTAGTGTCTGGTAGGCTCCAGATAGGGAGATATAGAGATATCATCCATTAAAAGGTAGCAGCAGCATTCTTTTTTTTTAAATTATGTTTATATTTTAATTAAACATTAAAAATATTACCTTAAAATACAAGACACAGTCTATATTCTTAATTTTTACTTACATGTCCCCTGTCAGCAGCATTCTTTTTTTTAAATTATGTTTATATTTTAATTAAACATTAAAAAATATTACCTTAAAAATACAAGACACAGTCTATATTCTTAATTTTTACTTACATGTCCCCTGTAGCATCAATAATAAAAACCCAGAGACAGATATTCAAGTTCAAGTTGAAGATCAGAGAAGCAAAGCAGCTGGCCACAACCTCTTACCTCTACCTCAGGCTGAAAGGGCTGCCTGTCCTAAGCATGGCTGGAGAATAAATCTCTGAGACTCATATGCCTTTCTAGAGCTGATATTAAAGGCATGGGATCCCAAATGCTGAGATCTCCTTTGTGTGAGCTGTTTCTATTTTAGACCCAGTCACTCTAATGTAAACCTGGGTGGCCTCGAACTCACAGAGATCCATCTGCCTGTATCCTGAGTCTTGGGATTAAAGGTGTATGCCACCACTGCCCGACTTCTATAGATAACTAGTGTGACCGGTGGAGTTAAAGGAGCAGCAGCATTCTTTAAACTGTGTTTCATAATTTACCATAAGGCAGGGGAAATGTTTTTGTTTTGTTTTGAAGCTGACTACATTCTATGAACACATGCCCTTGGGATTTTGAGTCTCTGTCACTGCTCTGAATCCTCACACTGACCTACAGTACCTCCCCCCTATTTTCCACATCCATGGCTTTCTCCTCTTTATGTCCTTCCCTGCTTCAGACTTTGAAGAGGTGAGTGACATTGAGTTCTTATAGTTAATTGGGAGTATGAAATGTCAAGAACCTGCCTAGCAGGCTTCTCTTTTTCTTCAGACCAGGCTTTGTAATTTAGAGGCCTCATCTTCAGGATAAAGGGGCTCTATGTGATCACTGCATCAGCACTTTTCTCCCCTGTCCCTCAGCAGGTGCCCTCTAAAAATTGGAAGACATTACACTGTGTCCTCAAACTCACCCATCCTTGGACTAGGGTATGCAACCACTGTGGCTACTGTATCTATAAGAGCCTGGTAGATCTGCTGTGAGTGTGGTAGAATAGATAGTTTGTTGGGGTTACGAGAAAGTTCCTCTCGTGTTCTCTTCCCTGGCCTGCTGAGAATCCCTGAATGCCATGGTTTGCATTGAGATTTCATTGCTTGGAAATTGCACATTCAGCAATTCATTAACCCTCACTTCTGTAGTATCTGGGGCACCACAGGCACGGAGCAGGGAGGATGAATCACAAGGTGGATTTGGGAATAGAGACATGGTTTACTTGAGTGGAGATTTTGTGTAGAGCAGAGTGTGTTGTTTGGTGAATTTGACTTTGCCCTAACAGTCAAATTTAAAACAAGTTAGTAGTGTTGATTTAAGGCAAAGTTAAATGTTTATGTCATCATCTCCCACATAACATACATCATGTTTTGTGACTCATTCTGACTTTATAGAGGTTTCTGTTTCGAAGGCTATACCAGTCTAACTATAATCTCAAGAGACAGGGAGATTCTGGCTGGGTAGTGTGAGTCAGGGGTACATTTGTAGATCAGGGCACTATGATGAATGTGAATGGTGACATTGTAATAAACCTTGCTTGGACAGTTGTGGAAGGAGAACATGATGTTTTCACATGAATGGGCCACATGCACAGAGAGATCTAGGGAGGTGAAGAAGCACAGGAGTACAGCATGATAGAGCAGATCAGGGCCTCAATGAAGACTAGAGAATCCACACACTCACTCAGACCCAGGTGGAAGCTGGCGTACCACCCTCTTTACTCTTTACTATTCTTCATTGTTTTTCAATTTTGCTCAGAACCTATTGCTACAGTATTGATTTAGATAGAAATCCCACCGTTTCTATTTTTCATTTCATCTTATTCCTTCTATAGACTTTCTGAACTAATCTTTCAAAATCCATTGTTATTATCACTCACTTAACTTCTGTTCTTTCCATTTCCTACATAACACAGTCCAAACTTTCCCTCAACAGCACACACAGTTCTGGGTCATTTTTCTGCCCCTCTTTTGAACATCCCTTAACCTTCCCAATTAACATTGAATTTCTATCTATTCATAGTTCTTCAACTACTTTTCTCATGTATTTTCTTTGTTTTTCTTTCAATCTTCCCTTCCTCATTCTGTTCAGTTTGACAACTCAATGTAACTATTACCCCACTTAGGTCTTTCTTAGTCTACCAATCGTCTGTGTTTCCCTGGTATCTTATAATTAACTTTATCATAGCATTTATCACATTTATTATAGTTGCCATCTGGCTTATCTCTCTAATTAGGCTCAACCATAATGCAGTTGATCTTTTGACCTCAGGGAAGACATGGTGTGTGGATATATGGATGGATAACCCCCTAGAGTGATAGATGACTGAGTCAGGTTCCTGAGCCCTGAAGATCGTTATTATATTAGATCTAGAAGCAGTGTGGGAGTTTATACAGGTTTGGGTTCCATTATTGTGGAGGCAAGAACTTGATAAGATGGTACACAGATGAAATAATAAATAAATAAACTCTCATTTTGTGATTCACTGGCTTGTAATTTAAGAATGAAATAAACTAAGTAGACCCTTTACATTCCTTTCTGGGTAGTTACGCAAGGAGAGACTTATGTCCTAAGCATTGATTACCAGGCAGTACACCTGGGGTAGGTTAGCGAGAGGCAAAATAATTAACCAGCTCACACAACACCTGGTGCTTAAAAAAGTCTTACATATAAATCTACTCCCTGATCCAGTCAAATCCATTGTTAGGATTCTCATTTGGTTCTTATTGCTATCTCTAGATGGAATATTCTCTCTTTTCCCCTTAGCAATTCTCTTCCTTTTCTTAGTTTCTGTCCCACTTCTTTGCCAATCATTAACATCACCTTGGTTACCGGGCAGTCATGTGAATTTAATTCTTTAATTAGCTTAGAGGGTAGGGCTCATTTAGTTTTCCAAGGTTAGGCTGTACAGTGATGGTGATACCCCTCCCTCTCACCCCAGTCTCTGGTAGTTTTAAGGTTTAATTCGATGGACACACACTGTTGACTGGGAATTCATAGGTCCTCCAGAGCAGGTGCTCCCACCAAGCATATGGCTACCCAGTTCCATCTGTGCCTACCAGCATGACAGTGTAGCAGCTTTTTACACACATGTCCTGGAAACATTTTTTTTTTTTTTTTATCACTGACAGTGGTGAAAAGCACATACATGGACTCAGCTCAATTCCATGGGAAGCCTGATTGTAGTGGAAAAC